AAACCGCTTCCCTTCCAAAGAAATTTGTATATTTTCTTTCAAACTTTCGCACGTGGGACCCAAACGTATGTAGATGATAATGTTAGAACAGAAGAGCCTCAGAACGAAACTGTGCAAAATGCATGATCGTATTAGCTATCCTGGCGCGCATTGCTGTTAGTTAATGAGAAGTGAGGACGTTGAATTTCTTCCCCTCCCCCCTCCCCCCGCCTTCGTTGCGGTTTTTTCACATAATTATCACTAACTTGTGAAGTTTCATTCCACTTTATATTTTGGGGAAGAAAATGACCCAGAATTTCTGTGTAAAAATGCAATTGCAGGTGATGCAGCAAAAATTGCACTGACCGATCCGATCTGCACAGAAGTGAATGAAAAAATATCACTTTCACGACGTATCGAGAAGCACTGGCGTCTAATTGGCTGGGGAACGATCAGGCGTGGTGCCACAACCAAACCGACAGCACCGAATTCAGTTTGACTCTTGCGCGAATTTGTTATTTCTTTGGCTTCTAAAAGCTGCTGCTCATCGATGGGCATTCATTGTCTTTCAGAAGTCAATTTTACAGAAAAGAGAGAGCAGGATGGGAGAAGGGGCAAGGGGGTAAGCATGGGAAGAGGCTGTGGGGGGGTGGTGGGGAAAGGGGGGAAGAGAAGGATTTCCTGTATAAGTATTTGGGTCGTTCATAATTCACAGATCGTTTGAAAATCATGGGAACGCGATTCAATGAGGATTTCGAACGACCCCAATACCTGTCTTTTTCATTGGGATAATTTGAGTTCAAAAATCTGATAACATGATTACTCTCACTCTCAGAGTAGCATTAGCACATCGCAAAAGTGTTTTTGTGTTGGGAAATCTATTTATTCTCTGTGTTTTTTTTTCTTTCCACTTTTTTCAGGCTGGTTTTTCAGATAGCAAAGACAGTAAATCTCTTTTTTTTGTGACGCATAGTTGTTGTAATTCATAGCCTGCTTTCCCACCTTGGATAGCTTATTACAACTTTTCCAGTTGCTTTGACCAGTGCTGCATCACCTTCCTAACATTCATTTCGTTCCCTAAAAAGATTACTTCTAACAAGAGCACTTGGCAGGTTTTAGTCTCCGGTCTATTTTGAGCATCACCACCTTGTCTCGAACGCTGTCACTGCTGGAATAGGATGAGATACCTGCCGTACAGACGAGAATTCCTGCACAGTTTGTTTCCTTATATTCGTAGGTCAGCGATCGTTTCGCCCTGATGAATCGATATTTTCATGAAGTCATGGTTCACTTCCCTTATGGTTTTTACATAATTTTTACGTGTTTTTTTTGACGATCAATCTTTCTCATAACAACGCCATCAGTCGTCGCGTGATATTTGTCTGATTA